CACGAGGACCGCAAAGTTAGTCCAGGCCTCCCTAGGGGACAGGGCTGTGTCGGGTGGCACCTCACCAAAAGAAAAGAAACGAATTGAAAGAAATACGTAGAAGCGGAGGGAAGAGGAAAGGAGAAGGAGGAGGAGGAAGAAGATAGGGGAGGGCTGGTGGCCTCCCTGGAGAATTGGGATCTGGCTATGCGGAATACCCGTGAAGATCCCTTTTGAGGCCTGGTGCATCATGCACCAGGGCGGAGGTCTTGACCCGAGGCTAGCCGCCTAGGTGTAGGGAGGCTGCGTGGTGACAGGAGGGGGCGGCTAAGGAAGGGAGTCGACCTAATTAATGGAAATGAAGGGGCTGGGGAGGAACTGGAGGGATTGAGCATTGGTGGGTGTGAGATGGAATGAATGCAATCCCTCAGGATCGGGAACCCAGGGACTTGTGAGAAGTGGGAAGAGCCAAAGGGGCCGGGTTTCGCTCAAACGAAATAAGGCTTCGGGTGTTACGAACTGTACCTAGGGGGCGGCGGGGAGACAGGGGAGTTTGGTGCTGCAGGAACTGCATCCACCGGCCGAAGAAAGGCGGGGAGAGGCCCAAGTACGTGGGAGTTCAGAGAGGGCGGAGGGCCCTGCAGCTTCCCTGGAGCCTCACTTCAGGGCCAGGCAAATCCCGGCCAGGACGAAGCAGCCGGGAGGGATCCCGGCTCTGAGCACAGATTCGAGCCTGGCGTCTTCACTTTGCTTGGAGCCACGCCGCCCACGTTCCCTGTGCGACAGGGCACTGCAGATGCTGGGTTTTCCGCAGGTCAGACGTCCTCATCGCTTACTCTGGCTGCGTCTCGCCGCCTGTCTTCCCTTGCCCGGGGTCTTGGGACACCGTAGGGGCTTAGCTGAGGGAGCAGTGCCCAGCAGGCGGCCCCCTGACCCATGGGGTCCGAGGGCATTGGGACCCGGGAGGCTCTCTGAACCCGACCTGGGTAGAATCCAGGATACTCTTGGGCGGGGGATTTCTACCCCACTCCTCTTCAAGTGCCTTAGTTGCCTTCTCCCCTCCGCGGGGACTTGGGCGCCGCGCCGCGTTGGCGGCGCTAACGCAACCGGCCCCAGCACGACTGCTGAATTATTCACGTGCAGTTTATTTACTGTGAGAAGCCTGACTCAGGCCTTTCCTGTGTCCATCTAGCCAGTGGGCGGCTCCTAGGTATCCTCTTCTGTCCCAACTAGGTCCTTTCACCTTCCCACCTGGCCTAGCCCAGGCCCCATGTGTCGCCTGCGCCCCGGCAGTAGTAAGACCTCTGTGAAAGGGAGGAAGCTGACTACCATTAACGGTTTTTGGTCAGACTTTGTTGTTTCTGGGCCGTCTGGGTTAGTAAGACAGAAGGTCAGCTCTTGGAGTTTCTGGGGATGGCAAGGAGAAGGGAACCCCAATTGTAGGCCCAGGAAAGCAGCCTCTCTCATCCCATTTCTACTCCTCACCCCACCCCACCCCATAAATAAATAAATAAATAGGCATCCCAGGAGTCCAGCAGCCCCTGGTTCTAGACTGCAGACCTGCTGCGGGTAAACAGGGGACTAAGGGTTTACCCAGCAGCTCACCCCCAGGACAACAGAGGGAGGAGCTATGGGGGACTCTGGAACCTCTCTTAGGGTGGCGTCTTTGGCCTTGTGCTTGTCTGTTCCCTTTGCCTCCAGGATGGTCCCTGCTTCTGCACCTATTTACATGCTCCTGGTTTTACAAAGTTCAGCTCAAACGCCATCTCCATGGGGAACAGAACCAGACTCTTCCCCACCCACCCCCCACACCTCACACACACACACACACACACACACACAGACACACACACTCACTTAGGTTCCTTTATCCTCTTCATAGACTCCTGGGCTGGTGGGGTGGCATGTGGGTGTCTGTTTCCTGCCACTCCTGCCTGCCCGTCACTTCCCATCTTCTGTCCATTCTTCCTCTCTGCTTCTGGGCGCAACGAATGATGGGGGGGTCAATCCTCTTTTCTTCTCTTTTCTTTTCTTTTCTTTCTTTCTCTCAGAGTCTTGCTCTGTCATCCAGGCTAGAGTGCAGTGGTGTGATCTCGGCTCACTGCAACCTCCAACTCCCAGGTTCAAGTGATTCTCCTGCCCCAACTTCCGAGTGGCTGGGACTACAGGAGCACACCACAACACCCAGCTAATTTTTGTATTTTTCATAGAAACAGGGTTTCACCATGTTCACCAGGCTGGTCTCAAACTGCTGACCTCAAGTGATCTGCCCGCCTCGGCCTCCAAAAGTGCTGGGATTACAGGCCCAGCCACTGCACCCGGCCTCAATCCTATTTAAAAAAAAAAAAAATCCAGCCTGGGCAACATGGCGAAGCTCCATCTCTACAAAAAATACAAAAATTAGCCGGGCATGGTGGCATGCTCCTTTGTTCCCAGCTACTTGGGAGGCTGAGGTGGGAGGATCACTTGAGCCTAGCAGGTCCAGGCTACAGTGAGCCCAGATTGTGCTGCTGCACTCCATCCTGGGTGACACAGTGAGACCTCATCTCAAAAACAAACAAAAAAAGCAAATGAAGGACATTCATTACTAAGTCAGACCACACCACCACAGCTGGGTCCACAACCCAGGAAACTCACTCCATAGCCAAAAAGCATTAGAGAATGAGGTCTCTGGGCCCCTCTGAGTATATTGGTGTGAGCAGCAGGAGCGCCAAACACATCTGCAGGCAGCTGGCAAAACCAATACACCTACCCTTCCTTTGTACCACTGGTCCTCTCTCTGAGGCACAGGCTACATTCCCTGTCTGGCTCCGTTTTTGTCCCTTGATTATTTATTTAGTTTATTTACTCAACAAATGCTTGGAGCCCTTGGTGTATGCTGGGCTGGCATAGGGACATGGAGAGGTGATTCAGGTCCTTCCTTCCCAAGTTCACAACAGATGGAGAGAGAGAGGCAGGACAGATAGATAAAGCAGCACATTCCTGGCAATATGATAGTGACACCCAAGAGAATGTGCTAAGGAGTACAGAGGAGCTGAACAGGGCAGAGAAGATTTCCCCCAGGAAGTGAGTTGGGCACTAGAGAGAGCAGGAGGTGCCAGGAAAGGAAGAGACACAAACCATCCCAACCCTTGGATGAGGGGAGCAAAAGCTTGGAACCAAAAGAGAAGGCTGTTCTAGAGGCTGCAGAGTATGGGCACCCAGGACTTGAGCATCTCTGGGAACCTGTCTTCTCCTCCCTGCCTGTCTCTGTCACTCAATGGTCTGTCTGTGTCCCCCAACACTTCCAAAGGGCAAGCACTCCCCCTCCTTCCATGCAGGACTGCAGTGCCTGGAGGAGGCCGGCTCATGTGGTATGGCCACCTTGTCACGGTACTCTGAAGGTATTCAGCTCACAAAAGAAGTAGGGGAGGGGAGAATCTGGGAGGGGACCAAAGGAGTGTCCTGCTCTCAGACCGTGCCCCACCTCTTCCTGCCAGCTGAGGTCCTAAGAGCTGGGTGTGGCCAGAGAAAGCAGGGCAGGTCCAGGAGCAAGCTTGGAGCCCAGCTTGAATTTTGAAGCAGCTGCCTCCCTGCTCCCCAGGCCTGGGAGGAGGCTGCTTCCCTCCCCCTTCCCCAGTGGCTTGCCTCCCTTCCCCCAGGTGGCCCGATTCCAGCCTTTACCTTTTCTGGATCCCCACCCTCTTTGAGAATCCCAGATGTCTTATAATATTGTTCCCAGAAAAATGCGCCCACCTGGGTACACATACACAATTTCTGGGGTTTACAGAGCCCCTGACACCCATTCAAAGAGCCTTGGGGGACCTCTGGTTAAGAACCCCTTGGTTCAGGAATTAAGGGGACAGACTTGAATAAGAAGCAAAACAAAACAAAAGGACAGTGTTCCAATCCTGATCACTCCAAAACAGGCTGTGTGACCCTGGATGGGTTACTTAACTTCTCTGGGCCTCATTTTCCTGTTATGTAAAATCGGGTTAAGAGCGGTAGCTACCCAGAAGGATTGTGAGTACTAAATGAAATGAATAAAACTCTTAGCCTGGAGCCAGGTACAAGGTAAAGACTTACGGTATTTATTGTCATGGTTATTGTTGCTGTTACTGCAGATAGTGGCCTAGGGCAAAATGTAAAAACTGAGTGGGCAGTCCTGGCTCAGCCTGGGTGGCAGGAGGCCGTCTATCATAGTCCACTTCTATAGCGGAAGAAACACTCTGAATTCCACACAGAGTGTCAGAGTAGCAGGTCTTCACGGGACAACAACAGCAACAGTAAATGATCTGCACTGCTGGTCAAGTTAACTTGTTTCAAGCAGCGGCAGACCCTTTTCTCTAAAGGAACTCTGGCCTGAGAGTCAATGCTGGTGCTTACACAAATAATCTGGAAATGAATGGGGGTACCAAAACAATCCAGATTGAATCCAATGGAGCCTTTGGGGGTTTAAATGAATTATTCTCCTGTGTTAAGGATTAACTTGTTTTGTTTGGGTCTGCAGGGTCCACTTAATGTGGCAATTCATGAAATGCTCTTTCCCTCTTCTTTGTCTGGAATATTCCCTAAACTGAGGAAAAGCAGATTTTTGGCAGAATCATCCCTTCCCTATTCACTGAGAAAGAAAAAACCTGGACCCTGGCTATTTAAGCAGCAAACAGGAATTCAGGATCAGAGTAGCATATAGATTAGGCTCTAGAGACAGGTATTCCCGCTGTGGAGCAGACCCTGGGAATCAGCTGCTTTCAGCTCCAGGTGAGAAGATTCTGGCCCAGATGACCGGGGGTGGGGAGACCCCCAGAGTGTCTGCCTTGCCCCAGCATGGGGGCTCAGGAGGACTGTCAGGGCAGGCTTTAGCCCCACTGACCCTGTGTTACTCATTTCTGGAATCCTCCTAATCTCTAAACTCCTCTGAGGGGCCCAAACTATCCCCCCTCCACATTGCACAATCATGTATACCCCATTTGCTGTATGGAAAGTCATTCAACCAATATTCAGCGGGAGCCCAGTGTCTCCTAGGACTTGGAAAGCCCGTGATGGACCGGAATACCCAGAGGAAGGCTCCTGCCCTCAGGTCTGGCGGGGGAGGGAGGTAGGGGTCAGTACACAAACCCAAAATATACCTCATTGCTCGGCAAGAGGGGTACAACAGGCAAGCAGATTGGGCTCCCAGGAGTCCAGAAGATTCCAGCCCCCCACACAATGGGGTTTTTCGGCAGCGGAGGTAGGGATAGGACCGCGGTGTTGGGAAAAGGTTGGTATGGCAGGTGGGCTGGTTTCCAAAGGTGGCCTGGATAAGGGGATCTGGGTGAATCAAAACAACAAAACACAGGGCGGTACCACAGACTTCCCCACATCCCCGCACCTCACACTGCACTCCGCACCCCAGACATATGGTGTGCCCAAGTGTATTTAACCAAGAGGCCAACCAATTAGGCCAAAAGAGCCAAGCCATAGGCTTGGACAGCAGGTACAGGTCAGTCAGGGAAGAAGAGGTTTGGCGTCGGTGGCAGAGGTAACTCAGCTGATGATTGTGAAGTGTCCCGTTCCTGTTGACATGGTGTGCTGAAGACTAGAGGTCTCAATACTAGCCAGCAGGATAAGATATTAAGAACATGCCAAGCAGAGGGACCCCTCTGCTCCCCAGTTCACATTCCCCTTCCTGTGAACCTCCCAGTAACCCTGAACTCCTCTGGTCTTGAGGGTCTGGGAGATGGGCAACAGCAGGGGCTGGGCTTGTCCTTAAAGTCCTATCCTGTGGGCTAGTACCAGACGCGATGCAGAGACTGAAGAGGACAGGAAGGGTGTGGAAGTATGGGAGGAACTCTTTCTCTCTCTCTTTTTCTCTCGATTGGGATCCAAGGGTCCTGGTTCCTGGATCTAGAGGGGCCTCCCTGCCTCCCTGCTAACCTCACTTGCCTGAAACTCTGGGTCAGGGGATTGGGGTTATGGCAGGAAAAGGCTGAGGTGGGATCCTGAGGGCAGGAAGTGAGAGGAGTGGACAAGACCCCTCTTGGCCCCAGAGCTTCAAAGCCACCCACGTTCAGCTCACTGACGTCCTCTCCCTCTGGTCCCTCCCCACCGGTCTCTAGGCTCTGACTCCGCTGTTGCTAGGCCCAGCATCACCTGGTGGCTCCCAGGGCAGCACAGAAGCAGTAGAGACAGGTCTGCCCGGGAGTGGGTCTGCAGCTCTGAGGGAACTGTGATTCCCATTCTCACCAATCCTGTCTCTGAGAACTTGTCTTCCCCACTTGCTTACTTCCAACCCGAAAATGCAGGACAAAGATGAGTTAGAGGGTAGGGGTTCTTCCCAACACTCAGAGCACTGGGGCACCAAACAAGAACCCTTTCTACCTACACTGTCCGTTTTACTCCAGAGAGCTGCCAGCCATGATTCCAAACAAACAACTGAAGGCGAGATCATGAAACCTATCTCTGCTGTACAGAGGCCCCCTACACTGAGGCATCCAGAGAAAGAACCTGCTTCCTGCCTCAGAGCCCAGCTTAGCTCATGCTCTCTCTGGGGTTAGATATGAGGGGAGAGTGGGCAAGAAATCCTAGTCTTCCCATCCCAACCCTTGGCCTGGGTCACACGTCCTCATTTTGGCCTCTCTGGGCCCTTCTCTGGTCCAAGCGGTGCTGCCCAATGCCCAACTACACTGCCCACCCAGGAGTTTACAAACAAAGCCAGGGCTGGGGCTGTGTGTGTGTGTGTGTGGGAGGGGAACAGCTCTTCCTCCCTGGACTCCAACCCCCTCTAGGTCCTCCCTTCCTTTCTCCAAGGGCAGAAATGGAAAATTAGTAAGGCGGCCAGTGGCCCCACTTAAACAGAATGGGGTAGCAAGACAGGAAGGCCTGAGGGCACAGCCCTGCTGGAGTGCCCCAGGGAAATGAAAGAAATAGCTGAGTTCAAACACACCTATATACCCACAGGTTCACACACATTTATACAAATATATACATGGAGAATCACACACAAACACACATTCAAAAACACAAACACCTTCAAGTAATAATGCACACAACATGCTCTCCCGGTATTCACAGATCCCAGACCCTAAGGTCTTTAGCTCCAGCCTAACTGGAAGCCTGGCCTCCCTGCGAGTTCTTGAGAGCAAAGCCTCAGCCGCGGCCTGGCTCCCGCCGGGCCCCCGCCCCGCATCCGGAACAGCTGGAGTCGGCCTGGCCATGCACTCAAGCCGGGCGCTGGGCTAGGCGGGGCCGGCAGCGGGGCCCCGGCTGGGGCCCGGGAGGAACGCAGCAGGGAGGCACCGAGCCGGCCCCGTTAGCCCGGGCACCTGGCCTGGCTACCCGTCAGACGCCCATCATTAGGCCGACGGTGGCCCCAGCCAGCCTGGGGAGCGGCTGCCGGAGGAAAGTGTGCAAGATTGCCGGAGGAGGTAGGGCGGCCGCTTCGGGATCAGGCCGGGGAGAGGCGTCCAGAGCCGCCAACAATTCCCCCCTCCGCCTCTCAGCATGGAGAAGGCTGAGCTCCCCAACTAGCCCCCTCCCCCAACCCCTGAGGTCCTCCACCCTCTTCCCGCGTCGCCCACCCAAGGCTGCAGAGCCTACTCTGACCTCCTGCGGGCCAGCCCAGGAGGGCTTCAGATTCCTTCTCCCCAAGTGCGTCGCCCAGGCGGTGGGGTGAGGGGCAAGAGGGTCAGGGGTAGAGGCGCTGGGCTTTTGATCTCAGCCCTGCAAAGTCCACGCTGGGTGGCAGCGGGGCCCACCCAGGCTCCTGGTCTTACCTGGCCCGCGCGGCGGCCGCTTCCCTCCTGGGCTGGGGTTCCCGCCACCCTTTCGGGCTCCACATCCCGGGTCGGAGAGACCGAGACCTCCGGGCCGGTGCTGTCATTGCAGCTAGGCCGGCGGGAGGCGGGTGCGCCAGGAGCGCGGCTCGCAGTTTGGGGTGGGGGTGGTGGCTTTTCAGTCGCCCGAGGTTCGGGTGCAATAAAGGAGCCGCTAATGTAATTTACAAACAGCTCGGGCCGAGCGCGGCGCAGCGCCCGGACTGACAGGCGCATTAGGCAGGCTAATTCCAGCCGGCTCCTCCTACCCCCGGCCCGCTAATTAATGAGCTTCCCAACTTAGAGCCGCCTGCATTGGACAGACAGACAGTGAAAGAGAGGGCGAGGGAGAGGGAGAGAAGGAGAGAGACGGGGGGAGCAGAGGAGAGAGAAGAGAGGGAGGGAGGGAGAGAGAGAACAGGAGGAGAGAACAGAGAGAAAGAAGAGAGGAGAAAGGGAGAAAGGAGAGAGAAAGAGAGAGAAGTGCCGCTGCAGATAATTGATTACACCCCGATCAAGGCTAACTTGTTAGTAATAGTCAATTGCCCCGTCTCTCCGCCTCCCTCGCAGTCCGGGATCGGCGCCCTTGCCTCGGCTCTTCCAACTGCGGCCGCCAGGACCCGGGGCCAGGAGCCACTGCCGAGCCACCTGACACCTTTAAATAGCACCGGGGCTGGCGAAACTGGAGCCCCGCGCAACGCGCCCCG